TAAACAAGTATTCTGAAAACCTGCAATAATGTTTTTCAGTGTAGTAAGAATATTATATCTATGATAGAGTAGTAATTGTAGTTCTTGAATGTTGTGTTGTTTGTATAGAAGATTTTATATCCATTGCTAGCTATGTATTTTTTATTGCTGTTTTTGTAACAAATTTTGAGTATTTCTTTAATGTTGTGTAATATATGTGTATGTGGAAGGCGCTTCAGTCGAAAATATCTGTGAAAATCATGTGAAAAAAGTATCCTGTTTTAAAATTAAATCTTGAAGTTTTTGACGATGTTGTTGATTGCCCAATAGCGAATTGGTTGTTTCTGCTTTTTATACAATTATTGTAGTTCAAGAAATGATTTCCTTATGAATGTTAACAGTTTTGTAAGTGTCATAGATAGAGGTTTTAGGCTACTAGTTTTGGCTCCTGTGATGTATCTAAATTTTATAGGAGACTTGTGTAGTTTTGGAATTGCATATATTAATGGTATATTCATATTGACTGTATTCTTGATGTTGTTATTATCATTAAATTTTTTATGTTTATTAATTATGCTATCTTGATCCATTGTGTACAGGTATGAGTATGTGTTATTAGTGTTTTCTATGTTTAACCCAAGGATGTTATCATGTTTTATTCCCATTTCATGTAGTATATTTGTATATATATAGTTTTTTGCAAACTATTCCATAGTTATTGCTGGCTTTATCCAAAGGACAAAAAATGAAAGATTTTTGTAGGTTTTTTATCTTATTCCTCAAGTATCCTTCTGATATTATGTTATGGTGATTTAGCCAATCTAAATATAGTTTAGGTTTCATTATTTCAGGTATTATATTTGATACTAATGTATTTTGTAGTTCTCGTTAAATATGTTTGTTTCTGAGTTCATATACTTATTTTTTATGGTTATATAATTAATTGTGTTGCTTTCATTTATCCATGATATTATCTTTGTTTTGTCTCATATTGACGCGGGATTCTATTATTTGCAATATCTTGGTCCAATAGACATTTCTTGCTATATAGGTCATGGTTGTCTTTTATGTCTGTAGAATTATGTATTGTTTCTAAAAATGTATTTACTTCCATCTATTTAGTTATCTAACGATGTGAGTTAATTTTAGCGAGTATCAAATAACTTATAGCAATAGAGTTAATACATTTACGGTGTTATTAATTCGGCTAACTATATTTAGAATTGGAACAAACATTAATAAGACGGCTGGAATAATTCCTGTTGAAAATCCAGTGAATACAAGTGGATAGATCAATTGCACGCCCACCAGAACGCGATGGCTGTTGGTCGCAGTTTGACAAACGGGTGTACCCACAGCCCAGCCCTGCGTTCCGACTTTTATCTTGGGTGCATCATTGTATGTATTGCTAATCCTGATTATAGTGACTTACAAGTTTGCACTAAAAAAGAAAAGCAGAACATGAAAAAGTTGCGTCGGAGGCTTTCAAAAAGCAGCTACGTCAAAAGTTCCGTCACGCCAATTGTTCCTCGCGTTTTGTGAACTGGAAAGCATCTGGACTTTCCTTTCACTCGGTTGTACTTGAGCACATTACCCTGTCTCTCTTCAGCTTATTGCAATAGGCACTCTTTCTGGAACAGTCTTGAGGACCTTGATGGAAGAGGAACAGACCAAACATGACGGAAGCTCTCTTCCAATTGAAAATTAAAATAATCGAGCCGCTGCCTCGAACTGATCAACGCAATGACCTCGACGAACAGCCATGCCAGTTAGCCGACGAATAGATCCTCTATTGGAGGACGAAACAACTAACGACATCTTCTCACTAAAACGTGGCCCGAGTTACAAAGTCTTCAATTTGCATTGATTCAATCCAACTCAGCTACCATGAGGCACCTGCTCTTCCCTCTAATGAGGAAAGACTTTCCACATAAATTACACATAGAGGTCATAAGAAATAATGAAGATTCATGGAAGAAATAAGGGATCTCGGAGCGAAGAATTCTTTGGAACACAGAAGAGAAGAATAATCCCTCATACATCAGCATATTGAATATAAAAAAAACGAGATTTGAGATAAGAGAAACAAACTTTCTAAAGACCATGGTGGCTGCAGTCGCGAATCTGCTTTCGTGATTTTTGGACTGCTGTTACGTATAAGACCAGAGGAAGAATGTAGAGGATCTGCTGACCAAAAAAAAGATGTATCGGAGCCTGGAATTTGGGCAGGAAGGGGTCCGGGGGTGTAGAGATATGCCCGATGCTATCATTGTCGTAGTCATCCATGGTCATCTCGGCGCTATATGAGCAGGAGAGGACTGAAGAAATTCAAGAGCAATTTAGCAATAAAACAGGGGAAGATAAGCGCTGCGATGAAGGACTATTCAGAGAGAGTGCTATAACTTCTTTAGCAGTTGAATCCTCTGTAGGGGGAGAGGGGGATTATCGACGGATTATTCCTTCAATCTTATTGCGCTGCTCCACTTACTATGTTTATTAGTTTACGCTAACGTTTCACGTTGTTCCAGTCCAGTCAGTGTTTGTTTGAACAGGTTCAAGCAGCACACAAGAAGAAGGCTTGGAAACAATAGAGACCAAAGACTCGGAAGGCAAAGCCAGAATGCACCTTATTCTAGGCAAGGTCAAATACCGGAGTGAGATCCAGTTATTAGGCTGTTGCTTTCTTAGCGACTAACTGAATAAACGATCACTTCTAAACGTGCAATACATTGAAACATCGTTTTTGTTAAATTGTTTCCAAACAATTCATAGTTATTTTCAAACTGTAAAAAATGAAATTTGAAAAAAGTAAAAGCAGGGTTCGAAATTCAACGGAGAGTCGATGGCAATATAAGATATTAGGTTGTTCGAAAAGTAATGCGACACTTTGACCAAATTTTTCGGACTAAATTTTCCGTCACTAAAAGACATCTCCAATCTACAAGGTAACCGCAGTTGATGACTAGGACTAGTGCCCTTCTTTTGCACAGCTTCTCATTTCCATTCTCATAGAACTACGGCAACTATGATAAAAAGAAGAGGTGGACCTCATTCTCGAGTTGAGGTCGATTTTCGGAATTTTTGCTTTTTAAAGGATGCGATAGGGACCAAAGGAGGTGGTAATTAGAGGCTGCTAATTTTGCTAAATAACCTGGGTACGGTCGCATTCTCTGATCGAAATCCACGATCTTTTGGGGTAGCCTTATCCCCACATGCGGTCATCGCATTGCCGAGTAGTAGAGAAAAATTGAGTATTTCTGAATGAATTCAAGCGTGACGTCATCCATATTTTGAAGTCGATTAAGGTGGACTGTGGTCCTTACAACGGTGCTAGTATCCAGTGATACCGCTTTGAAGTCCCACCAATAACACACTGAAATCTTTATCCCATGCACATCTGTTTTTGGCTAAGCAATCTACTTTTCTGAGAGATCCTGCGAGGGACATGTGCATGATGTACGCAAGGACTCCAACACTCGCTACCAACCACAAGATCTCACAAAAGTTCTTTCGCTGTGTACAAGGAAAAGAAAACTCAGTCACGGTCATTCGGTATGACTTGTCAGACGGGTCCAACTCATGAGGCATCCTTCACAAAAAATTTTTCCGATAACCGAGATTGCGGAGAAGCATGGCAGTTGTCAGTCAGGTGGAGCCTAGAGAGGTTGCCAACTTACTGGTGGTTGGCTGCGCCTCAAGAAGCTTGAGTAAAGGGCCGTCATTCTGTGCTGGTGGGCGACCTATACATTGCCTAACTACGAGTCAAATAAGTCCAGCCTGGAAGCGCTGATGCAAAAGCTACCCTCTGCCATGGCAAGCGATATCCTTCCTCAAGACAACGTAAGTGTTAGCTTCCTCGACTACGGCGGAGTGGCCCTACAGGAACTCATAATATGGGATAGGTCGAAAAGTACCTCGATCTCTGAGGGACTTTTAAGCTTTGAAAACTTCCACAAAGTCATGATATACCCATGTGCAGAAACCCCAGAGGACAGTCTCCACTAATCAGGGATAAAAACATCCAAAATGATTTTTGGTCTTTTTCTAGAACAATTCAATCAAAGTGTCGCAGGACTTTTCGAACAACCTAATATTTCTAGGTTCAACTGACTATTTGAAAAGAAAACAAAACAATTGCTCGAATTCTCATCAGGATACTATACCGTAGCCAGCCACCCGGTCCCACAAGATAGAATGGCTGTCGACATTGTCGGCAACGTGTTAAGAACAAACTGCACACGCACCTCCGAGTCGGGCCATTTTTCCATCTACGGGTTAAGTGGGTTTACAGCTGTAGATGACGCCTATTTCTCCACTCAAAAATGCACGGGAACAAGGCTGGAGTCTCGATGCCTGGGGCTACCTCCCTGCTAGGCCTGGGCTATCGTCAAGGTGCAGCTTTGGCGTCATTACCGAAATTTTCCAGCACAATCAGAGGTAGAGAACCGACAGATGCCAGAGGGCACAAAAAGAGCGCATTTGACTATGGTTAGGTGAGTGGCTATCCGTGCGGCAACGCGGGCAGAGTCCAGAAACAGGGCACCACTAGCCTCCATAACCATGCCCATGCATTTTTAATTAGAAACATGGACCCACGGGGGTGATTGCAAAGATCCCATCCGAAGCCGCATTCATACTTCACAGCTTGGGCGATTCAGTCTCCGGACTGCGAGTGACCGAGCTCCACCGCTGATCGTTGGACCGTTGCTCTGTGCAGTCGCGATTGGGGAGTCGCGCAACTGAATGACTTCAGTCGCAAAATACAAATGCAACTTCAAAGCGCAGTCCAGGGTGGTCGTGAAGGAGAAACCAGACATCTCTTTCACCGGACGCGCCCTTCTCTTCGGTTCTAAAAAGAGGCACCGCGATTGATGCCTCCGTCCATTAGTTTAGCGTGCACTGACTATGAGTCTTGGAGTGTAATGTGATCACAGGTTTGTAAACTATAAGCTAACGGGCGAGGTCCTCTTACTGCGGACCACGGAGGAAATTCATTCTAAAACCAAAATGAGATTTGTCAATTAACCTTCACAAATCTCCGGGCTGAGGTAATTGGGAGTGCCGATGACTGTCGATGCAAGGCTTCTTGTGGTGAGCTCCTTGGAAATTCCAAAATCAGACAGTTTAACAAGCGTTTTCTTCCTGCACATGTACGTAAATTACAGTGATTGAATGAAATTTAGAAGACTAACTGGTGCCTTCTACATATTTCCACCATTTTGCTAGATTCCTCGCCTGGAACGAACGAATGAAATATTGAAGTTAAAGGAGAAAAAGCCAAGAGGATTGAGTCTACGAGATGTCTCACATGAGAAACCTGATAGGCGGTTTTAAAGTGTCTCGCAAGTGAACCATTTAATTTTTCTAACAAGAGAACTGTTTTGGATCATCCGATTCGCAAGCCTTACTGTTTTTCAACGCTACACTCCACTGCCGACATGTTTACGCTATTATGGCGGCACCCGAATCACCGGAACGAAGGAACGGGAGCAGCAAATTTGTTCCCTTGCAGCGCTGCTTTAGCCGGTCCAGAAATAACAAAAATCGCGACTTCAATTGTAGGGAAAAGGACACATCAGCACCACGTATAGCAATAGCCGAGGCACAAATAGGGCGCTGACTTTCGCCACACCAATAACGCGAACTGCTTCGAAGCTCTGTCCCTTTCAAGGTATAGCCATTGCAGCCTTTCACACACACACACACACACCTGATACATGGATGAGAACCTGGCTGAGCTATACTGCAGAGAGTCCGCAATCATTGTATAGACCAAACAAGCGCGGTGTGAAGCGAAGAATAAAGACTGGCACAATGCGAAGGAGGCGAAGGCGGTATCGACTAGCCTTCATGCCTTTACTATAACCCGAAAACATTTTTCTCGGTGGGCCGGAAGGGGGACGGGAAAGGGAAAGAGCAATCGCTTTTCATCTGTCACCGAGGTTCTCACAAAATTCGGGAGTGTGAAATTTAGAACACTTTATACTGGCTTACACTGGAAACTTATCTGCCAGGCGCCTTTTTCAAGTTCTCGATGGCTGGGCTATAATGTGAGGGAAGTGAGAGATGTGTCAGTCATTAAGGGTTTTTCCTGCTTATGCAAAGAGAGGTTGGTGGATGTCGTAATTAGAAACTAGGCCGTAAGATAAAAAAAGTTGGAAGCAAAACTCAATGAAAAAAATAGGAGAAGAAGCAAGAATCTACATGACAATTCACCTGTTCAAAAGGATATTCTGCGTTTTGAGATCTCTGTGAACGATCGATTTCGAGTGAATATGGTTAAGAGCGATAAGAATCTGAAAAAAATCTTATTAGTTCTTGTGGGTGGTCCGTAAAGCACGGCGGGATAAAAGATGAATGGAATGTGATATCAACTTGCCCCTTCAAAAATGTTTTCCAACACTATCCATTTTAATCCATGACAATTTGTCTATTCGTTTTTCACGATTTTTTTGCAAAGTTAAGCTACCATCATTGCTGACGAGCGTAATGTCTATGTGTTTTTTGAATACTTAAGGAGGATATGAAGACACACCGATACCCGATTACCTGTGAGGTGAACCATTTCCATGCTTGTTAGTCGGCATATGTCAGCGGCGCGTGAGTTTGAGTTTTGGCGACTGCTTGTTTTCCTTCAATTATTGCGGCTTGAGGGTTCAGGGAGCATCGTGATGTATGAGGTTGCGGTGTAGGTACGACCCCCTCCCTTCCCCAACACCTACCTACGAATTTCCCCTATTTTCCAATTTTTTCACCCAAAAATTTTGCTGTCGAGCGGGGGGGGGGGATATAGTGCACAAGGTGAAACAGGAAAACCACGCAAAAAGTCAACAACCGGAAAACCAACGCGACAAATTTCTCTCAGAGGCACATACGACCCCCCCCTCCTCTCTCCCAACGACCAAAT